CCCCCCAAATAAGACAGTTTAAGTGATCTGGATCCACTTGAATCTGACGTTTTCTGTGCTTAAGATACACTTCCCTCATTATTCCTGCCTCTTAGTGACTCAAACTCACCTGTCACATCCTGTATAAAAGGAAGGCTTTAAGTTGTTTGGGTTGTAAACTGGATATGTTTAACAGAACAAGACTGGGAAACTAAGTGCTATAATAACATAATAAAAAATAAAAGGAAAATAATCACACCCATATGCTTTTATTTTTAAAGTTTCACTTTAGGTTTTAATATTGGACAATAAAATAGAACATTTTGTAACCAAACTGGCTCCCTGTATCAGTGGATTTGGTTGCACTTGCCTATGTATTCCATGAAATGTAGCAGGAACCTTAAGCATGACTGAGATCTGTACCCACTGGAAACCACACTGACAGAGAACACAAACTAGCAATGCATAAACATGCTTTTTGATGTCACTACTATGTCATGTACTTCACTGGATACTCAATGCTTTAATTTGTATTCACACTGGAGATATACATTCTTACTGTACAAAGCAATGCTTCATTGATTTTCACTGCCAACTGCGTACTGCTTTTATATCTTCATACTCAAGTGGTCAAAGCAAGCTGGGCACCAATCACAACAGAAAGGCATCTAACACCTGGTGCAACGCTGCAAATACAGTGATTCTGGTGTTAACTCAGCCCAGCTCTCGACCGATTGCAATTTTACTGAACATGTTGTTCCACAGCGGGAATAGAACTATATGTGGCACACAAGGCACAGATGTGCCAACTGTCATGTTGATGTGGCTGTGCAAGACTTAGCACGAAATAAAATTACAAGATCTATGCCTGTAAATACTAAGTTTGAGGCAGCTAAACAGTGTTTTGAGTAAGCTTAGCTGTACATACACTTACACAGTTACAAGTAACTCTGATGAGTTTCATGAACAGCTGGGTAAGGAGAAAGCGATATGAATATTAATCTGGACATTTCTAACATTAAAATACTCTCCAGAGAATGACACATGCACAAATATTAATTTCAAAACTATTCTAACATCTTAAAAATAAATGATTTACTCAACTTCTTAAGCTAGCACATCTTAAAACAATATGATGAATTCCCATTCAGTATCTCTTTCCTTTTCCAGTAGAACAGCTAGGCTTACATACAATCGGTTGCTGAATTTCTCTGCAGTCTTTGGAATTTGTGAGTATTATCAATTTAATACAGATTAACACAGAAGAAAAACAAAGATTCCATACATCAATCAGAGTCTGTTTTCTATTTCATGTGCTTATGTTAAATAAAAGCGACTCACGATTCTAGAATCATGCAGCTTTAAACTTGGCTGCTACCTTATCTCACATTAACAAGCATTTTTTCAAGGCACCCTGGCATGCTATGTTTTCCCTTACAGAAAATAAATTGAAACATTATGTCATCTTGATGCTTAGAAATTTAAGTACTTAAAGCCCCATGAATCATAATAAGAATGTATACCCTATTTGTTACTTGCAAAAAGAGGTAACGGTTGTAAGTAACACTGCACACATTCTTCTCAAGAAAAAGGAAAAACAAACTCTCTGATGGGAACATCAAAATTGTTTATTTTCTGTGCCTGACACTTGGCAAATCCTACAAAACTGAACTACTAGTAGTCTCCCCACTTCAAACCCTGGAGTGTAGCTGTAAACTTTTAAACACTAAAAATAATGATACATAGTGAACAGACAGCCTTCAATGACCTGAAAAAGCTACGTAAACATTTAAGTGTAATCCATGTAGTAATATGCCAGATGTTAAAGGGCAGTTTGTCAGGACTGGATAAAACTGCTCCAGTAATGAAAAACAGGTCAATGGTAAAGATGCAAGCCCCTCTCTCATTAGGATCTTTCCTAATTGCACAAGGCAAATTGAGTCTTCGGTTTATAACAGACTTCTAGAAATCTCGTTTAAATTATCTATACAAACGTTATCCTCTCATATTCTCTCTGAGTTTAGTAAAAGAGGACAAAGGGACACTATCTAATCTAAAGCAAACTATATAAAGAAAAAAGTAACACAGGCAGCATCATTTGAGGAAACATTTGCTTTGAATGTCTGGGTCAAAGAATCATTCCGTGCCAAAGTGCATCAAAGCACACTACAGTAGTAGATAAAAGAATGAAAAACAAGGAGGTTTGGTACCCTGTGTCACTAAAAGTTCTGGAGGTATGTACGTGACATTGAACCTCTGAGATGGAATTTTCACTTTCTAATTATTGAAACTAAGAAAGCTCTTGCCGTATTCTGAAGCAAATCTTTAACACTTATTTCAAAAAACCTTACAATAAAAAAACAAACAACAAAACAACCAAACAACAAACAACCCGAAATCCAACCTGAATTCATCAGTTTCCAAAGCTGATCTACCAAAGCTTCGTTACATAAAGGGGACTCCATGTTCTTGGTAAAAGGTGGATTCTTAGTCAGCATATCCAGAATCTTATGCCTGAAAAAGAAACAGAAAAAATCTCCTTTATTAAATCCAAATGAATAAACTAATAATACAAAGTCTGTTCAGTGTGCAATATTCTTAGAAACTTATTCAAATACAGGATTTCTTCCAAAATTTTAAACAGTGTTTTACGCTTTTTGCTCTTCCTTCTGTCCACAATATGCATAGACACATATTTACCAGCAGCAATATAATTTAAAGTAAAAAGCAAGGTGAAAAGCAGCAGGATGTTATCAGACACAATTTTTAACAGTTAGGTATAAATTTGTAGGCTACATCACGCTCTTCTGTTTAGTAACAATCTTTCTACCCACTGACTTGATAAGTACAAAGAAGGCGCAATATTGACTAATAAACTCCTTACATACTGACACAAAAGACTTTTTAAATAAACTTTAAATGTTTATGACTGATACAAAAATGACAGGACCAAAACCAGTGACTTGCACATCCTTCTGGAAAGGAACACCGCCACCTCTTAAGTTACACTGGTGTATAAAAACTCTGCACTTACCATATTTGCTTACGATTTACACTTGAAAGTAGATACATTTGTCTCCTACTTTCCTTCTTTAAACTTAGCCTTGAAAACATCTTATGAATGAGAATAATTATTTGTTCCATTACTTATTATTTTAACTATTTTCCCTGTCTAGGCAACTTTCCTCTTGCTGTCTTACACATTTGGGACAAGAAAATTCTTACAAATATTTTTTTCTCCTTTTCCTTAAGAAGAGGCTTACATACAGCACTGAATTCAAAATTTAAATTCCTCTTTAAGAAGATACAAATCAAAAAATCTCCTTCCTAGACTGCATCAAAACCTCCTCTAGTGAGTCTAATTGTATCTACTTTCATTAAGAAGAATGACAGAAATAAAATAGGGCACAATATTGCAGTTATGATCTTTGTAAGAAATCACCTATACAGAGAAGGTGCAACTAATACTATTAACTTTGAAACTCGGTATTTTAATGGTAGCCATAAAATGTGTTGGGGAAAAACATGATTATGAACCTCTGTGTTCAAGGGTTTATAATGAATGTGCTAAAATATCCAATCACTCATTGGTGAAAATAAAGTTGGAACAGGCAATACTAGAAATTACATGATATTTTCACATGTTATCCTTTCACCCCATCTACAGTCTAACAATTGCTTTACACTCCTTGCTGGCAAAACACTGTGTGCGCTGTGTCTCAACTTTTGTCTTTTCTAAATACCACAAAGTCTTTTTGCCATACGCAACATCAGATTTATATACTTCATTTATGATCAGAAAATGACCTCTAACTTCAAATTTCCATCACAGGGGTAGAATATAAAAAAACAAAAATAATATAATGAAGAATAAGAGAGATGTGAACTGTCGAAACATAAAAACAAGTTTCAATTTATATAACAAGAAGAAAAAACAAGTTTGTGAAAAAGCATTAAGCAGT